TGGTGCTGTGGGCGTGGGCGTGGGCGTGGGCAAGTTTGCGTGTTTGCGTGTTTGCGTGCGTGCGTGAGTGTGCGCGCGCGCGTGCGTGCGCGTGCGTGCATGTGCGTGAGTGTGCGTGCGCGTGCATGTGCGTGCGTGTGCGTGCGTGCGCGTCCGTTCGCGTGCGTGAGCGTGCGTGTCCGTGCGTGTGCGTGCGTGCATGTACGTGCGTGCGCGGGCGTGTGCGGGCGTGTGCGGGCGTGTGCGTGCGCGTGCCGGTGCATGTTTGTGCGTGCGTGCGAGTGCGTGTGCGTGCGAACGCGTGCGTGCGCGTGCGTGCGCGTGCGTGTTCGTGCGTGCACGTGCGTGCGCGTGCGTGTGCGTGCGTGCGCGTGCGATTGCGAGTGCGAGTGCGAGCGCGTGCGTGCGTGAGCGTGCTCGTGCGTGCACGTGCGTGCGCGTGCGTGCACGTGCGTGCGCGTGCGTGCGCGTGCGCGTGCGAGCGTGTGCGTGCGTGTGCGTGCGTGTGCGTGCGAACGCGTGCGTGCGCGGGCATGTGCGGGCGTGTGCGGGCGTGCGCGTGCGCGTGCGTGCGTGTGAGTGCGCGTGCGTGCGTGTGCGTGCGTGTGCGTGCGTGTGCGTGTGCGTGCGTGCGTGTGCGTGTGCGCGCGTGCGTGCTTGCGTGTGTTCGTTTGTCTGCGTGTGTGCGTGTGTGTGTGTGTGGTTGTGCGTGTGGTCGTGTGTGTTGTGTGTTTCTATGTTTGTGTGTTTGTGAGTTTGTGGGTGCTTGTGTGTTTGTGTGTTTGTGTGTCTGGTTGTGTGTCGTTTCGCGTGTTTGTGTGTGAGTGTGTGTTGTGTGTGTATTTGTGCGTCTGTTTGTGTGTTAGTGCGTATGTGTGTGTTTGTGTTTGTGTGTTTGTGATTGTGTGTACTTGTGTGTGGTTGTGTGGTGGTGTTTGTGTGTTTGTGTGTGTATGTGTGCTTGTGTGTGTTGTGTGGTTGTGTGTGCTTGTGTGTGTGTGCGTTTGTGTGTGTGTGTGTTTGTGTGTTTGTGTGTGGTTTGTGTGTGTGTGTGGGTGTGTGTCTGCTGTGTGCTTCTGTGTGTGTTGTGTGTGTGTGTGTTTGTGTTTTTGTGTGTTTGTGTGTGTGTGTTTTGTGTGTTGTGTGTTTTTGTGTGTTTTGCATTTTGTGTGTGTGTGGGTGCGTGCGCGCATGTGCGTGTGTGCGTCTCTGCGTGTGCGCGTGCGTGCGTAGGTGCGTGCGTGCGTGCTATCGCGCGTGCGTGCGTGCATGCGCGTTGCGCGTGTGCGTGTGGTGTGGTGTGTTTGTGTGTGTATATATATGATTGGAGATGAATCCAGTATAATATGTTCAATTAATTTAATTTATTTAACTTATTTAATTCATTTATGTTGGCAAATAAAAATAATTAAATAAATTCTATTTATTTGATTTATTTATTCTAGTTCATTTATTTAATTTATTTAATTCATTTGTTCGGCCTCCCTGGCGGAGATCACGGCAGGCTTCAGGTGCACCCGAATTTATTTAATTTATTTAATTGCTGCGTTTTAAATAAATTAAATAATTAAATAAATTAAATAATATATTGGGCCCTGGCGATCGCCAGGCTCTCCGCCAGATAGGCCGAGAAATAAATTAAATAAATTAAATAAATTAAATAAATTAAGTAAATAGAATTTATTTAGTTTATTTTATTTATTTAATTTATTTATGTGAGTTAATTAAATAAATTAAATAAATTCTATTTTTTTTTTAAATTTATTTAATTTATTTAATTTATTTAATTTATTTAATTTATTTGTTCGGCCTCCCTGGCGGAGATCACGGCAGGCTTCAGGTGCGCCCGAATTTATTTAATTTATTTAATTGCTGCGTTTTAAATAAATTAAATAATTAAATAAATTAAATAATATATTGGGCCCTGGCGATCGCCAGGCTCTCCGCCAGATAGGCCGAGAAGTAAATTAAATAAATTAAATAAATTAAATAAATTAAATAAATTAAATAAATAGAATTTATTTAATTTATTTTATTTATTTAATTTATTTATGTGAGTTAATGAAATAAATTAAATAAATTCTATTTTTTAAAAATTTATTTAATTTGTTTAATTTATTTAATTTATTTAATTTATTTTTTCGGCCTCCCTGGCGGAGATCGCGGCAGGCTTCAGGTGCACCCGAATTTATTTAATTTATTTAATTGCTGCGTTTTAAATAAATTAAATAATTAAATACATTAAATAATATATTGGGCCCTGGCGATCGCCAGGCTCTCCGCCAGATAGACCGAGAAATAAATTAAATAAATTAAATAAAATAAATAAATTAAATAAATTAAATAAATAGAATTTATTTAATTTATTTAATTTATTTAATTTATTAATGTGGATTAATTAAATAAATTAAATAAATCCCATTCATTTAATTTATTTAATTTATTTAATTTATTTAATTTATTTTTTCGGCCTCCCTGGCGGAGATCATGGCGGGCTTCAGGTGCACCCGAATTTATTTAATTTATTTATTTGCTGCGTTTTAAATAAATGAAATAAATTAAATAAATTAAATAAATTAAATAATATATTGGGCCCTGGCGATTGCCAGAACCTCCGCCAGATAGGCTGAGACGGCGACGACGGCGCCAGAAAGTATTAAAAGTGCGGTACCCCCGGTCCCTGGGCCACCGCCTCCTTGGCATGTTTTTTTCTCATATTATGCCTCCGCCTTCTCCCTACTATTTTTACTCCTCCTCCTCGTCCTCCTCCTACTCTTTCATTTCTTCCTGGTCTGCCAGCGTTTACGCAGGGAGCGGTAATCGTGCCGCCGCTCGCAGACGTGAACTCTACAGTGCTTTTTTGTTCGGTACCCCCGGGGCCTGGGCCACCCCCGACGACCATGACTACGACGACGACGACGACGACAGGGGCAGCGGGCGCGACGACGACGGCGAGGACGGCGGCGGCGGCGGTGGAGGCGGCGGCGGCGGCGGCGAAAGCGAAGTCGGCGGAAGTGTCCGGGAGCGCGCCGTCCGGACACTTCCAAAGACTCTGGACGACGATGACGACGACGACGGCGACGACGGCGGCGGCGGCGGTGGAGGCGGCGGCGGCGGCGGCGAAAGCGAAGTCGGCGGAAGTGTCCGGGAACGCGCCGTCCACACACTTCCAAAGACTCTGGACGACGATGACGACGACGACGGCGACGACGGCGACGACGGCGCCAGAAAATATTGAAAGTGAAAATATGATATATTGTTTATTAGTTAATTTTTTCCCGTGCTCTTCTCCCGCCAAGGCCGAAGGAAAAATCGGTCGTGAGTGGTGAGATAATACCGTGCCGTCCGCTTCCGGAGGCTTCCAAAACCCAGCGGAGGCTGCCACGGAAATGTCCGGAGGCCCTTGGGGGCCTCCCTGGGGCCTGCCAGGCTTCTCTGGGGGCGCCCAAAATAAGTGGTACAAGCATGGGTTCCAAACGATAAGTTTTACCTATTTTGAGGGCCCTCTTGGACCTCTCTTGGGCTTCTTGGGGGCCCATTGGTCGTCTTGCGCCATATTGTTGGCTTTCTTGGCTTTTTTTTCCGCCGTGTTGGGGCGATCACTGCAGTCTGCGGGTCTCCTAGTATCATCGCGAGGCCGTCTTGAGGTTGTACTGTCATGGTCCGAACCACTCGGAGGTTCGAGGATCGAACTTCGGGGAACGAGGTACAGCCCGAAAACCAACCGAACGACGGAGGGGGGGGAACTGGGAGGAGGAGGAGGAGAAGGAGGAGGAGGAGGAGGAGGAAGAGGAGGAGGACGACGACGACGACGACGACGAGGACGAGGAGGACAAGGAGGACGAGGGAGGGGGAGGAGGAGAAGGAACAGCAGCAGCAACATCAGAAAGTGTCTGTGACAATTCAGTGACGGTCCCTCCTGATCGGGGTACAACAAAATCGCCCGTTTATGTTGTACCCGCTCGCTGCTGGGAGGGCGAAGAGGTTGGCCTCGGGGGGGGGGTGGCGTGATGAGTTTTTTGCTTTCCTAGAACACCCTCCCATTCTCATTCTCCTCCTTCTCCCGCTTCCTCCCCCTATACCATACCTACCATACCATATCAGACCTACCATACGATACATCACATACCATATTACACCAGATCTACCATACCATACCATATTTACCATACCATACCATACCATATCACAGCACTCGTACCATGCCATACCATAATATTTATCAGGTTTCGTGTCCCTCCCACCCTTCCTCGGTGGCCCCGCCTGAGCGAGGAGAGTCGGCGAATACAATAGTATTTATCAGATTTCGTGCTCCTCCCACCCCTCCAGGGAGGCAGCGCCTGAGCGATGAGGGTGTACGCATACCATACTATTTATAAGGTTTCGTGCCATCCCTCTTCTCCAAGAGGCCCCGCCTGAGCGAGGAAGGTATACGAATACCGTATCACTTATCAGGTTTCGTGCCCCCTCCCACCCCTCCAGGGAGGCCCCGCCTGAGCGAGGGGATAGAGCTGCAGCCGTATCTCCCTCGAGATATCACCCTTTTGGCGTGGCTCGGCATTGCCGGCCTGTCATTCTAGGGCCGTCCTGGGGCGATCTTGATGGCTTTTGGAAGCACGTTGGAACTATCTTGAATTATCTTGAGTTTTATTGAACGATCGTGGAGGCCATGTCTGCCTCTCTGGGACCCTCTTGAAGCCATCTTTGGCCATCTTGGACGCTCTAACGCCTCGCGCGTCGCCCTGTCCTCGCTGGTAAACAGATCTACCTCACTTTTGTTCATTCACGAATACAAAAATACCATGTCATGGATGGTTGGTCCTTGGAACAGAAAGCGAGGTAGATTTGTTTACCAGCTGTTTTTGGGCAAAGTTGCATGCTGTCGTTTTATCGAAGCACTCGGACGATGTGCTTGCTCGGATCTTCCCTTCAGTCCGTCTTCGAACTCTCCCCCAAACCCTCCCCCCTTCGATTCCGCCAACCGAGACAGGCGCCCGGAGCGAGACGCTGGCTCGAGCCGCCGAATTACGCTGTTGGCACGAGCCGCCTTGGCCTCGCGGGCGCCCCTCGCTCCATTCGACTCCAGATCTTCGGCGGGGTGATTTATTCAATCTTGATTTTTTTTATTTTTTCGGCCGCTGGGGGCAATCTTCGGCCCCCCGGGACCACGAACGGCTTGCCCCCCCCCAAAAAAAAAACATGGCAAGGATCCGTATATGTTGGGACCGCGGAGTTTGAATCAATCAGATCGTCGGAGGTATGGGACCACAAGATTCGGCTCAAGATCCGTCAATGTCATCGATGTTTCAAAATGTGACCTACAATCCAGAGAAGTGCGTCTATGTTGGTCGAGCCACTCGCGATGGTGAGCGCATGTGCTGGTCGGGGGCGAATGAAATTGCGGTGGCGGAGAAGGTCCGTAAATTTACAAAGACTCGGTCTCTGAAAGACATGCTGGCGCCGGGCCACAGTGTTAGGGAGTTGCCCAAATGTCTTCGAGAGGAGCCTCAAGATGTCACAAAGAACCCTAGACGGACTCCGCCCAATGCCCGGGCGCAATTGGTCATCCGGTTGATGTGCTTGCTGTACGCTCGTGGAGCATGCGCTAAGATTCCATTGTTACGGGCTGCCGACATCGCTGGGCTGCGGCTTTCAAAGCAAGAGCTAGATGACAACGAGTATACTGGCTTGCATGCAATGAGGCATCTAATCGTTTTGCATCAATTATGGACACCTCGGCGCATGGCATCAGCGATGTCACACTTGAAAGCGCGCGGAAGCATGAAAGATGCACTGCAACGTATAAGCGCGCAGAGCAGCAAATCTCAGCAAACAGAAATCGACAGAGATGAAATAGCCATGTTGGTTCCTGGGTTATGTCGACGCATCACCAAACCGAGCAACATAGTCAAATGGTTTGATACATACGAGAGCTGGGAAAAGCTTACCAGCGCAGCAGCTATGTGCTGCGAGTATTTTCACAACGGCCGTGGGACTATCACGACGCAGGCGTGTGATCTCATGGCATCGCAGCTTCGACCAGTTGACATGGTTGGTGACTACACTGCTCCTCATTGTGTTCGGAGTTTAGCTGCAATCTTCCATCGCAAGATAGCATTAGGTTCTGTATGGGGCAGCATGTTGATGAGCGATCGCAGTGTGGCTGCCATGCTTAAAGTGCTAGGTAATCCTTCCCCAGTGGAGCTGCTCGAGTGGTTGGGGCGGTCTGGTATTCGAAATACGCCTACTATTCCCGACGATGCTGGGGCGCTTGCTCTATTGCTCTGCGAGACACATCAAGTCTATGCGAAATTGACGAAGAGAAGGTTTACCCTCTGTGCTTTCGTGAAGAAACTTGGAAGACTTTCGCCAAAGCAGGTGCAAGATGAGCGGCGCATGCTCGCCAAAGTGAAAAAGTATTCGCTCAAGAACAAGGTTTATGAATCCGCCGCTGTTGTGCTGACGCATATGGGCATGCTGTAGTCTATCGAAGCATTCGGACGATGTGCTCGCCGCGGTGGCCGGCCTGCCTCCTCCCTCCCTTGTCGTTGTCGTCGTCGTGGTCATCGTCAGCGCATGTGTTCTTATCGCAATTGATTGGAGAGGCCTTGCGGCCGGTGATTCCGACCCTGGACGTCGACGACGATGTCGGGGCCATGACGCTATAGGGCTATAGGCCTATAGTGCTATGGGGCTATAGGGCTATGGGGCTGTAGGGCTAGGCTTACCTCGGCGGAGCAACTGGACCGAGGCCGCGGAGCAACTGAAACCAAGCGGCGGAGCAACTGACACCAAGCGGAGGAGCGGCGGAGCAACTGAGCCAGTTGTTGGCCCAGTTGCTCCGCCCGCCCATCTCAGTTGCTCCGCCCGCCCCCTGTCCCCCCTGCGCCTCTGGGGCAGTCTCAGTTGCACCCGGGGTGGTTGCAGTTGCCGCAACAGAACCCAAGCGGCGAAGGGCGTGGAGGAGGGGGAGGAGGCGGAGGAGCTGAACGGGAGAGGAGGAGGAGGAGGAGGAGGAGGAGGAGGAGGAGGAGGAAGAGGAGGAGGAGGAGGAGGAGGAGGAGGAGGAGGAGGAGGTGGAGGAGGGCTATCGGAAGCGAGCGGGCGAGAACGCAAATAACATTGATTTTCTATGGGTGTTTGAAAGTTTTTGGCTTCTTGAGCCTCCTTGGGAAGCTTTTTGGACTCCTGGAGCCGTCTCGGGGCGGTCTTGGGCCCTGTTGGAGCGTCTTCGGGGCCATCTTGAGGAATCTTGCGCCATCTTGGGCGAAACAGTACCCTCTGGCACCTCGCGGGGCGCCTCTTGGGCCCGTCTTGGGGTGCCTCTGGGCCCCTCCGAGGGCCCTGGGAAGGGTGCAAGAGGGCCCCTAGAGGGCTCCCAGAGGCCCCCAAGGGGGCTCCAAGAGGCCCCGAAGAGGGCCCAGGAGTACATTATAAAACAAGCTGTTTTTATAAGCTTGCCTGGTGCCCTCTTGGGCCCGTCTTGGGGCGCCTTTGAGCCCCCCCGAACGCCCTGGGAAGAGTCCAAGAGGGCCCCAACAGGGCTCCCAGAGGCTCCCAAGAGGGCTCCAAGAGGCCCCCGAAAGGGTCCAGGAGTACGTTATAAAACAGGCTGTTTTTACAAGTTGTCCTGGGGCTCACTTGGGCCCGTCTTGGGGCGCCTTTGGGCCCCTCCGAACGCTCTGGGAAGGGTCCAAGAAAGCCCCTACAGGGCTGCAGGAGGCCCCCAAGAAGGCTCCAAGAAGCCCCCAAGAAGGCCCCGGATTACCTTACAAAACAAACTGTTTTTATAAGCTGTCCTGGGGCCCTCTTAGGCCCGTCTTGGGGCGCCTCTGGGCTTCTCGGAAGGATATGGGAAGGGTCCAAGAGGTCCCCTAACGGGCGGGTCGGGTCGGGCCGGGCGGGACATTAAAGTATGATGCATCATCGAGTTGGCACGCGAGTACCCTAACGGGCGGGTCGGGTCGGGTCGGGCGGGCGGACCCTAACGGGCGGGTCGGGTCGGGTCGGGCGGGACATTAAAGTATGGTGCGTCACCGAGTTGGCACGCGAGTGCCCTAACGGGCGGGTCGGGTCGGGTCGGGCGGGCGGACCCTAACGGGCGGGTCGGGTCGGGCCGGGCGGGACATTAAAGTATGGTGCATCATCGAGTTGGCACGCGAGTACCCTGACGGGCAGGTCGGGTCGGGTCGGGCGGGACATTAAAGTATGGTGCATCACCGAGTTGGCACGCGAGTGCCCTAACGGGCGGGACGGGTCGGGTCGGGCGGGCGGACCCGGCCTCGGGAGGCCTTTTTCGGGCTCCGGGACTGAAGCGAAAAATTCCGTTCTGGGGGTGCTGGAATCGCCACGAACGGCCGCCGGAGAGCCGACGGCGTGTCGCTGGGGAGGCGACGGCGGCGGCGGCGGCCCGCCGCGGTCCGTGTCGCTGGGGAGGCGACGGCGGCGGCGGCGGCAGTGGCGACGACGACGACGACGACGACGATCAAGACGACGACGACGACGACGATCAAGACGACGACGGCGACTACGAGGAAGATAATGATGAGCGCGTTTTTCCCGGCCGTAAGCATCCTTACGGCCTGAAAAAAACACGACGACGACGACCACTACGACGACCACGACGACGACCACGACGACGACGACGACCACGACGACGACGACGACGACGACGGCGACGGCGTCGACGACAACGACGACGACGACGACGACGACGACGACGACGACGGCGGCGGTGACGGCGACGGACAACTGGTGCGTTTGGACCCCGGGAGGGATCTGGGGACCCGTCTTTGGGCCCCTCCGAGGTCTCTGGGAAGGGTCCAAGAGGGCCCCTAGAGGGCTCCCAGAGGCCCCCAAGGGGGCTCCAAGAGGCCCCCAAGAGGGCTCAGGAGTACGTTATAAAACAAGCTGTTTTTATAAGCTGTCCTGGGGCCCTCTTGGGCCCGTCTTGGGGCGCCTCTGGGCCCCTCCGAGGGCCCTGGGAAGGGTCCAAGAGGGCCCCTAGAGGGCTCCCAGAGGCCCCCAGAGGGGGCTCCAAGAGGACCCGAAGAGGGCCCAGGAGTACGTTATAAAACAAGCTATTTTTATAAGCTGTCCTGGGGCTCACTTGGGCCCGTGTTGGGGCGCCTGTGGGCCCCTCCGAGGGCCCTGGGAAGGGTCCAAGAGGGCCCCTAGAGGGCTCCCAGAGGCCCCCAGAGGGGGCTCCAAGAGGCCCCGAAGAGGGCCCATGAGTACGTTATAAAACAAGGTGTTGTTATAAGGTGTTGTTATAAGCTGGCCTGGTGCCCTGTTGGGCCCGTCTTGGGGCGCCTTTGAGCCGCCCCCGAACCCTCTGGGAAGGGTCCAAGAGGGCCCCTAGAGAGCTCCCAGAGGCCCCCAAGGAGGCTCCGAGAGGCCCCCAAGAGGGCCCAGGAGTACGTTATAAAACAATCTGTTTTTATAAGCTGCCCTGGTGCCCTCTTGGGCCTGTCTTGGGGCGCCTTTGGGCCCCTCCGAACGCCCTGGGCAGGCTCCGAACGTCTTGGGCCTGTCTTGGGGCCGCCTTTGGGCCCGTCGGAAGGCTCTGGGAGCCCCCCGCCCTCCGTCGAGGCCCCCCGCGGCACGCGCGGCCCCGGGTGCAGCTGGGACCGGAGCGTTGCTCCCTGCAAGGGTCCAGGAGGGCCTCTCTCGGGCCCTTCGCGGAAGCCCTCTTGGCGCATGGGGCAGCCTGGGGCAGTCTGGGTCAGTCTGGGTCAGTTGGGTCAGTTGGGTCAGTTGGGTCAGTTGGGTCAGTTGCTGGCCCAGTTGCTCCGCCCACCCGTTTCAGTTGCTCCGCCCGCCCCCCGGCCCCCTTGGCAGTCTGGGGCAGTCTGGAACAGTCTGGGGCAGTCTGGGGCCTGTCTGGGGCAGTCTGGGGCAGTCTGGGGCAGTCTGAGGCAGTCTGGGGCAGTCTGGGGCAGTCTGGGCCAGTTGGGGCACTCTGGGGCAGTCTGGGGCAGTCTGGGACAGTCTGAGGCAGTTTGGGGCAGTCTGGGGCAGTCTGGGGCAGTCTGAGGCAGTCTGGGGCAGTCTGGGCCAGTCTGGGCCAGTTGGGGCACTCTGGGGCAGCCTGGGGCAGTCTGGGGCAGTGTGGGGCAGTCTGGGGCAGTCTGGGGCAGTCTGGGTCAGCTGGGTCAGTTGGGTCAGTTGGGTCAGTTGCTGGCCCGGTTGCTCCGCCCACCCGTCTCCGTTGCTCCGCCCGCCCCCCGGCCTTTTTCCCCGATGCGCGCCCCCGCCATTCTGGTGGAAAAATGCATTGCGCGAGTTCTATTGTCTCAACGCCTGTGTCGTCGTAGTAGGGGGAGCGAGAAGACCACAACGACGCTTGCCACGACGACGGCGTAAGTGATGATGAGGATGGTGATGATGATGATCACGCTGGTTTCGATGATTACGATGCTGATGATGATGGCGATGAAGATGCGTAGGAGGAGCAGGAACAGGAGGAGGAGGAGGAGGGAGAGCAGGAGGGCGAACAGGATGATGAGGGAATGGGAAGAGAAAATCGGAAAGTCGGCGAGAGTTCTGCTGAGGAAGAGGGCGCGAGAAACGATGGAGGGAGAGGGTGAGGAAAAGAATAACGAAACTGAATCATTCTAAAAAGAGGATGAAGCAAATCCGAAAATACATGATAAGGGTAGTGATGGAGTGGAACCACAGAAAAAAAGGGAACGCACATTATACCACAATCCTCCCCTCACATATATATATATATATATATTCTCATACGCACCTCTCCGAGGGAGTAGAGCTCAGAGGCGATTAATGCGCACGCGTCCGCGATTTTTCTTGGCGTTTCGCTCGGGACATCCTCGAAATTCTGAAAATCGGTGGCACCCCTCACGCAGATCGTGACGTCAGGGTCTAAAAACACATGGGAATTTCAACATGTTAACATAAAACCTTCAAAAACACATGGTAATTTCAATAATTGTGACCCCGATTATCAGGGAGTGGCGGTTTCGCTTGCAAGAATCCTTCCAAAATCGAGCCCCAGACCCCGCCTCGGAGCCTCCTGGGGGCCTCCTGGAACCTCCTGGGGCCTCCTGGGGCTTTCTGAACCTTCTGGCACCCCAGACCCCGCCTCGGAGCCTCCTGGGGGTCTCCTGAAACCTCCTGGGGCCTCCTGGGGCCTCCTGCGGCCTCCTGGAGCCTCTTGGGGCCTCCTGAAGCCTCCTGGGGTCTCCTGGGGCCTCCTGAGGCCGCCTGGGGCTTCCTGGGGCCTCCTGGGGCTTCAGAACTACATGCACACAGAGACACAAATCACGCCCAACACATCACACGCTAGACAAACATAACACACACACACAACACCTACAACACACAAAAAGCACGCACCACACAAAGCATACATACATCACACACACACACACGCACAACACTCACAATCCTGGGGCCTCCTGGAGCCTCTTCTGGTATCCAAGTCGGGCCTCCTGAGGCTTCCTGGGGGGTCCTGGTACACACATCGCAAGGTGTGGCAACCCCACTTGCGCTCGAGTGCGACTTCGATGTTGCATTTCACTCCTGCTTCAAACGCCCCTTCAGTTTTTTGTATGAGCCTGGGCACACACGTGCCACTTGTGTGTGTATATATATATATATATATATATACAATGTCGGGGTATTGGGGCCCCCGGCCCCCCCCCCCCCGGGACACAATGACAAATGGGCCCCCCCCCTCGGTAC